CAGCTTATGTGCTTCTTGGCCAGGTCTGGCTATAGCCATTCTTGTTTGGGATGGACTCACCACCACTCTGTGCCTAACAAAAATCTGTAGTCCAGAATAGGCACAAGTATTTTCCCATCCTTTCATGTCATTTTTCCAACTTCCAGTGCTTTAGGAAGCATTTGTTTCCCAAAAGGGTGGTCAAACACTGGAACAAGCTCCCTAGGGAGGTGGTTGATGTCCCAAGCCTGACAGTGTTTGAGAGGCATTTGGACAATGCCCTTAATAACATGCTTTATCTTGGTCAGCCTTGGATTGTTGTAGGTTCCTTCCAACTGAAGTATTCTATCCTATCCTATCCTATCCTATCCTATCCTATCCCAGTCCATTCCATTCCAGTCTAGCTATTCCAATTTATTCCAATCTGTTCTGTTCTTTTCTGTTCCGTTCTGCTCTGTTCTTTCAGTTGGGAGGGATCTACAATGATCATTCAGTCCAACTGCCTGACCAATTCAGGGCTGACCAAGTTAAAGCATGTTATCAAGGGCATTGTCCAAATGCCTCTTAAACATTGACAGGTTTGAGGCATCGACCACCTCCGTAGGAAGCCTCTTCCAGTGTTTGACCACCCTCTTGGTAAAGAAATGCTTCCTAAGCATATTCTATTCTAATCTAACTCCCTAGTAGGCTCCAAGAGAATGAAGCTCATATATCTTGTTTTATGGCTGAATTACAGCCAATACACAAATCAGAAGATCTGAATGTTGTAGAGCTCAAAGCCTGTCTCTGCCCCAGGGAGCAGGGACATTGCTGCCCTGGGACAAGTGGGCAGGTCCCCACTCTTCTCCTCAGAACTCAGAAGTGGGGATAGAGGAACTCATAGGGAATGGGAGCAATGAGGTTTTTATGTGGCATCTGTCTGTCTCACCCAAAATCCTAGCAAGAGATCCACCCTCCTTTGGCTGCTACATCAGCCAATTCCAATGCTCCTCCTTTCAGGGGCTGCTCAAAATCCATGCAAACCTATGCTGTCTAATCTGTATCGCGTCAGGAAAACCCACCCTTTCTACCCTGTCAGAGGGTAATGCTTTCCCAGAAGTGAGTGTCTATCCCTCCAGTGCTTCAGCCGCCAGACATCATTCGTGAATCTCTGAGGAAGCCCTGTGTGATTGTTGACCATCCCTTCCTTCCACCCAGCCTGGGGGCTCTGGGGGTAAGGATGGTGGAGGACTTGTAACAGGGTCAGTGCACAGATGCTTTTTACAGAAATCTAGATAGCTTTGGCATGTCCCATTATAAAGATTCGCGTTCACCCTCCTCGCTGTATTCATAAAAGGCACCCATCATCCTGACCCCACAGGGCCTGTTCTGATGCACCTCTGCCACGGGGAGCCTGGGAGTCCTGAAGGAACAAGAAACTCCCGAGCCTTACTGCTGAGGGGAAACACGATGGTGCAAGGAAGAAATGATGTGGAGGCAAGAAGCACAATCTCTTAAGTATGTCTGAAGCAGACCCCAACCTGCCATCAGCCCAGCCCTTCCCACACAGCACGGTCCCGGGGAGGAGGGCTCACTCACCTGCGGCAGACGCTGTCCGCACACGACAGCGCAGCACTGTCCCCTGCTCCTGGCTGGCAGCAGTGGCTTTTCCTGGCTTTCCTTCCACTGGATCGAGCTAACGAGGGGCTCCCCTTCCTGGTGCGGCGCGGGCAGCACCAGCGATAGGCTGCAAGCCCTCACCTCTCGCCCGGGCAGGTGCATTCCCCAGCAGGGTGGCGTCTCAGCAAACCTGCTGCTGGCCTTGGAGAGGCTCCAGAGCCGCGTCGGTGTGCAGGCGCTACCCCTCCCTCCTTCCCTCCCTCCCCGGGCAGGATCTGGCCGCACACCGATCCTGGAAGGTGGCTCATTTCCTCCCAGCTGGAGGTGAAGGGGTGCCAGAGCCTGAGGGCAGCTCCCAGGCAGTGGGTGAGAGGAAGCCTGCAGCCAGGTTGGCAGCACTAGGGAAGTTTGACACATTCGGCAAGTATTTGGTGTTATGTGGTATTAAACAAAATAGCTCCTGCACTACTGTATAGGTTAGGGCCATCTGACCACATCAGGATTGAATCTTTGTATGCCATTAGTCCAGCCAGGCACTTAAATCAGGCAAGATGTCACTGTGGTGGCACCTGTCTCTCACCAGGCAGCCACAGCACCCCCTCCCTGGGAGACAGTGGCATCAGCAGAGCCTACCATGCTGCAGAAGAGCTGACTTCTGGTAATCTAGTGGAAAGAAAAAGGTGTCAATTCTGAGAGGAATTAGGGAAACAGAATAAGGACTCATTTGAGAGAG